TGCTCGGCTTTACCCCCAATAGAAAAACCTATTTTGTATCGTCGGCCAATTTTGCTGATCTTACCCTCTAGACCTTGATCTAAGTCGTTAATGTAAACCAGAAAAAGGAGCGTTCCTAGAACAGAGCCTTGAGGAAGACCGCCTTCGACCTCAACCCACGTCGACACTTACACACCCATTTACCATCGCTTGCTGGTCTCTTCCTGTCAACCGGCTTCTAATCCTGTCACTCGTCTTACCCTAGATACCGTGTGCCTCCAATTTAATCTGCAATCTCTTGTGAGGGACGGTATCGAAGGCTTTCGCGAAACATAAATCGATGACATCCGCAGGGTTCCTCTAACCTGTCACCCAGTGGCGTAGCCAGGATTTCACCAACGGAGGAGAGTAAAGCGGAATGATGGGGGGGCTTACGTCTCCTTGTCGGGGGGGGGGGGGGGGCATTTTGACAAAAGTTGGGGGAGCTTGAACCAAACTTGGGGGGCTGAAGCCCCCCCAGCCCCCTTCGCTACGCCACTGCTGTCACCCAATCATAAATCTGAACATACAGGGTGATTCATAAGTCAGGTTACATAGGGGTAATCCTTATTATCGTTGCAGGTGTGTGAATGCTCGCAGTGATGTCTTTGTCAATTGAAGAACGTATTGAGGTGGTGTTGATGGCGGCTAAAGGCAGTTACAGACACATCGCTGAGGAGTTTAACCGGAAGCACCTAGAATAAAGGCATTCCCTATGTAACCTGACTTATGGATCACCCTGTACTTGACATGACACTTGTGCATGACGAACACCCCATGTATGTATGCGAATCAAGTAGAATATTGTCTGACTCAAGTGAAAACACTTGAAGTTGTAAATTCGTTCAATATATCCATGAATGAAGGATAGAAAGGAAGAACAATTGTGAAATGTGAAAATGAGATGTGAAAAGGTTGTGGCAACACTGGTTCCGAAACGGTGCTGCCTCCATTCTGTGTCATAGACCCGCGGCCCGCGATAGTCAACGTGTGAGTCTTAAAATCTCGTCCTCTATACGTGAGGCTAACCAGTGCAATCTCCTTCAAAAAGCAGATCTTATCATTCCATCAGAAAGGTCAAGAACAGCAGGTGAGATTTCGCTTTGTCTCTTCAAGATACTTGCCTAGGGGGGATGAGCTGGCCCGAAAGTGAACAGGAGTCTAATTTTATAGGCCTAAATTTTGCTCTTGAAAATTTTGACCCTACTCCCAACAGTTGAGTTTCATGTTAAGCTTGTACGGTGGTGCTTAACCTGTATGAGCTAATAGGCATCTTTTCATGAGTTTTCATGATGGGGTTATTTAGACTGATGGTGCCGCTCAGATATGCATTCTCAAGCCTATTGCACTTAGAGCCATGCTCGTCCAGAGGGGTGCCATTGCGGATAATCTGCCCCATCTCTCGTTTCAGCTATTGTACGTCTTGTAAACACCATGTACACTGAGTTCGTTATGTGAACACCCACCATAAGCCTATGTGTTCACCATGTATAAGGCTGTTTTACACCTATCGTATGGTGACACGAACATATTGCTCTCTCTCTTCCCTATACGTTTCTTATACCTACGACGTGAAAGGCTTGTTGTAATCCCTCGTTCGTCTGTTTTCTTGGTGTATCTGCATTGAGGTAGCTCACACTTTTGTTATCCCCGTAATCCCTTCCTGCTCCTGCTGTAATTTGCATATCTCTCCTTGGTGGCAGTACAACTTGTGCCGATGAAAGCAAATGGTCTGCCAGCAAAAATTATTCCATAAATTCCTGTATGCCAAGATGCAAACAATGCCTTTTTTCTTCTCCAGTCATGGCTCTATCCCATGATCAAATCAACCACCCTAGTGAATGGCATCACTACCTGAAATCAATTGAAATTCTTTAGGGATGCGAATTCAATTTGTAAATGGTACATGACTCGGAGACTGTACCGGAAACAGTTTTTCTCAATTATTTAATTCCTCCAAGCGTGGCCCACCCCCTCCTCATCGGAATTGCCTCATCCATGCCAGCAGCGAGCATTGAAGTTTCACCAATTTATATTCTTAGAAACTTAGTTGTATCGATGCAGGCATCAAATATGTAGCATTACTTGATTGTGAGGTCAGCAGCCCAATAATCACAGCCGTTGGAACGTGGGCAAAAAGCTAATTTCGTAGCTCAAATATGGCACTTGCCATGAAATTCCAAGAAATTGACAAGCTGTCTGAATTTAAGCTGGCAAATATATTTTAGGCTTCCACCCTTTTACTATGACTAAGTAACAATACCTTGATGTTCACAAGGTAAAGGATGGATGTTAAGGGGGGGTTTACACATGGTGTACATGGTATTTACAAGATGTACAATAGCCCTCATATCAAGTTTAGTTTAGTTTTGCCCTGGACCTCCAGAAACCTGTGGGTGGTCCTGATCATAGCCAAAATGTAGCTGTTGCCTCTTCTAGACCAATGCAAATTTTTCAGAATTGTCTATATATAGGCCATCCTTTTTTTATTATAGATATTTTATTATATTTTTTATGCAGCTCTCATCCATTGGTCTTCACAACTGTTTTGAACTTGACCCTTCAATAGTCGTGTGGGTAAGAAATTTCTGCGTATTGTTTCTAAGATATATAGACAATTGTGAGTGATTGATGCTAATTCTAATCATGTTCTAGAGAAGTTAGAAGTCTGAAATGGTACACAAGTAGCTATTGGGATGCAGTGTTCAGAAAAAAATCAACTCTGGAAGTACATGCCCTGGGCTACTATGTTATGCTTAAGAGGAATTTCTGCAAGAGATGTATGTGATGTCCCATATAGAAAAATCATATGATTTTATAAGAAATGGGCTTCTATGATATATGGGACATATATGGCAGTGTTTCCCAAACGGTGTGCCATGAGATTTGAAAGTTGACAAAAAAAATGAAAAACTGAAATTGAAAAAAACTAAAAAAGAGGGAAAGCCATCTCTTACTGAAAAACAAGCTTAGTGTTGCACTATCATGCCTTCTATCAAACTTCTGTGTTCAGTGAAGCAAGCGCAAGTTTTCCATTGGAAGAAAGTACATGGCTAGGTGTGCCATGGAAAGTTCAAGTGTCCTTATGTGTGCCGCAAATAAAAAAAGATTGGGAACCACTGATATATGGTATTATATGAACATATATGGCTAGGCCATAAAAGAATTTTTTATAAAAAGCATGTATGTAAAAGATATGGATATGGAAAGATACTTGTATTTGTATGACATTGTATGTCTATCTGGTACATAGTGGGGCATATGTGTCACACCTGATTAGAGACATGATCTAATCAGGTAAGAAACATACATAAAATCATGTTAATCTCAAAAAGTCTCTCCCAAATGTAAAAAAAAATTAACTAAGCTGAGAATTGGAACTTCATCTGTCACTTCTGTGAAAATACAAAAACCATTCACTTCCAACACATCACAAGTGCATCCCTAAAATATCCTAGAGATATCTCCTTGGGACAAGTGAGAAGCCCCAGAGGTAGCTTTATTGCAAGGTAGCAAGGGTATTGGCAGCTATGTGTACTTGAATCTCTACTGTCTCCTTTCCACTATGTACAATAAAGATTGGTAGACTAGAGGAAATACACTTGTTCATTCTGATGTTAATAGATGATATCATGAGGGGCTGGGGCAAGTCAGGGATAAAAACCAGAGGGTTTTTTTTTTATCATGGGAACAAGCCTAATCCTTGTGGGCTGAGAGTGGGAGAGAAGCATATTGGTAGATGAAACAAGCATGTCAGTTGGACCCCTTGGCATGATTTGGTGGGAACCTTGAAATAATTAACATAATCATTGCTAATTCACTAATAGCAAGTTGGGGGAAAAGTTTAATCTTGAAGAAATTTCCTTTACATGCACTTATGTTTCTGGACCTACCTTGAATTGCTTTGTGCAGTGGAATGCTTAGATTATTGTATTCTAACCATGTCTAGTTGTACTGAACTGGTGGTATCAGTTAAAAACTTTTGTTTGTCATTGTGAATGGTGCACTTCCAATAACATTTACCATTATATGGGGAAGGTATTTTATGACAAAAACAGGGGTTCATTGGACCCTCTTCATTTTTTTTCTTAAGGGGAAATCAAAATGTTAACATTTCATTTTTTTATTTATATGTAACTGTCAATGAAAGACACATCAAATTTACAGTAAATTTTGAGAGAATTAAGAATAACCCTGGATAAGGATTAAGGAAATGTCCTGTCCAACTGTCTGTCATGAGTTAGTGCATTAACTGAAGCGGTTGTGTGATGTCACCTTCCTGCAAAGCATTTATCTTTAATCAATTTGTGCTGTACTGGAACTTGATTTCTTAATGTAAATTGCTCTTTGTTTCTTCAACAACATTATTTCTTGTGATTCCATATCTGAAGAGCTAATATCTTAACACTTTTAGTATTTGACTTTAACATCATAACCTGCTCCTAAAGACAGAAATGTGGTAGTTGATGATGAAATTTCAGAATCCTGGTTTCATTCTTTATGCTTTCATTTATTCTATGCATATTTATTACACTGGTGACTCCCTATATGCCAACAACTTTGCGACTGTAGTGTATTGACCACTAGTGCCTGATTTCCTGTGGACAATGCCTAATGCTAGTGGCTATGTTGACTTGGTTATTAGCTTACAATGAGGTTGAAGATATTCTTATTATGCAGTTTTTGATATTGCAAAAATCCTTTTGCTTTTTGGCTTTTTTTTGGCCTATCAGGATTGTCTGGTATTTCTACATGTATCATATATCATGACTACCTTAGTTTGTTGAGTATGCTCACAATGCATTAAGAGAATCTTATTTTGTCTTTTCTGTTTTGCAGTGCCAGATATCTATAGTCAAGACTCATCTCCTGGATGTGAAGCTGAACCCCATTTCAGAGCATGATAGTTCCAGGAGAATGGAGCTGATACAGCAGAGACTGCACATTATCAGCTAGAGTCATCTGATGTGGTGAAACAAGCAATGGATGACCCAAGTGACCTTTCCAGACCTGTCTCCCCTGCTGAATCAATTGCCTCATCTGATGCTTTCAGCCAATGTGATGGGGAGCGTAGTACTACCAGTTCCAGAGGTGGTTCTAGCTCTACATGTTTAGGTGACATTTCACATTACAATTGGAGACCTTAGGCTATAAGTTTCAGGCACAATCTTTGAGATCTTTATGACATCTTTACATAGAGACCTTATTGAGTCGTGAGGCTTCTTTTTGCCTGATTGCAAGGGCATCTCCATCTGAATCTGAGATTGAAGACATTCTAAAGGTATTTTGGCTCCAAAATATAATGCATATCCAGATTATTGGATATTTCATTTATTTGTTGATTTATAAATAATTCCAGACCTTTGAGCTGCCTTTGGTACAAGTGGATTCAGCTAAAGCTGTCTTGGAGCGAAGTGACGTCTCAATCTGCATCATAAATGAGTTTGATGCCAGCAACTCCACCTTTGCCACTCTTGCTGCTGCTTGTCCAGATCGAAAAACAGACACTATTCCACCTCATTGGTATTTGTGGGCAGGCTTAGACATGTTTCTTGATGCAAAATTTGGATTTTCTCTCTCAATGGAGTTCTATCTTTTAGTGAAGTGCGGGTAGTGAGCCCCCTGGGTTTGAGAGAATTGTTAAGCTTGTATGATGGAAAGCAGGCACTTCAAGAATTGCTTCTTCTCAAGCGACCAATGTACAACTTACGTCTTCGCAAGATGAAGTTCTGCTTTGCCTCCTTCTGGAACAAGAATTTTTTGGTTAGTCTGTGATAAGTTGTTCTGTAAAGAACTTTTCTGTGCTTGTGAAGCAAAGAAATAGCTCTTAGGTTTTTTTGTGCCATGGTCACTTTTTTTTTCCCATTAGGGCTTGTACTGTTCTTGTGCTCAATGATTACTCATTTTTGTTCCTTTTCCTCCCTGCCTCATAGACTCATTGTTATACACGTGTACACCGGATGAGTGGGAGTGTGGTCCGTCGCCCTGATCGCTTCACCACTCATCTTATTGCCAACATGGCCCTTGGACCCAAGTATGAATATTGCTCCCTCTTTGGCATTCCCCTCCTCAAGCCTGGATATATTGAGCACCTATGGGAAAACCGTGACAACCCTCAAGTGAAGCCAGATGACCCTGAACTTGTGAGTTATCTTTGTGGTTAATGCTTTGAAAAGGATTCTGTTGCAGTGAGATGATTTTGTCTCTCCTGTGAAGTATGCATGAAGACATTCATTTCGAACTAAACTCAGGGAAGTGTAGTTCTTTGAGATAGCATGAATTACAGTGAGCTTCCATTATAATACATGGCTTGGACCTACAGAATTGTTCCATAGTTAATCTGTAGTACATATGTTTTTGTCTAGATGGAAGCACTAGTGCAATCAATGGCTTTTGAAATTGACAGAAAAATGTATTAATTCTGTCCAAATTTACCCTGATGTAGGAATTTATGTCTAAGCCAATGGATTAATAAAAAGTAGAGATAGACTGATATTGGATTTTACTGATTCCGATATTGGCCACTTATTATACTGATGGCCGATGTGATATTTGCCAATTTTTTTATATAAACAAAACCATATTGAAGATTCAACTGGACAGCTTGATTTTATTTCAAATTCTCTCCTTGATGAACTCACAGTCAAGCTAGGCTGCAAAGCATACACCAAACCTAGCCTTAGAGTGAAGGTGTCAGACCAGGAACATAAGCAGAGTGAAAGACCAGCAATTTCTTGCCTCTTGGATAATGTCATCTTATCATTATATTAATGTATCACATGTCTCAGGGTTTCCATATGGGTGCAGAAAAGATAGTCCTAGTCATATTTCTTTTACTTTATACATCGAACAGAACTCTGATATCGCCAAAAATGGAAGATTTGAAAGAGCCAATGTGAATACTTGCTGATATGCCCATATCACCCTATTTATGTCAGCAACCAATATATTGGTTGATCTCTAATTTTAAAAAAGTATACAGAATTTGAATTAAACGTAGTCAAGGCCTATATGGCCATGCCTCTCAACATGAGGCATGGCCATACTGATGGTATTTAACAGGATTGTGGGATTCAGTTACGGTAAAACCACAAATTTTAGGTAGAGCTGTCAAAATAGATAGATGCATCGATACCACTAAGGATGGTTGTAGATATCTATAGTTTTTTATCATTGTGATGTAAAGGCAAAAGATTTTAAAGGGGGAATGTCCCATTGGATTGAGATAATACAGTCTGTCCAGGAGGAGAAAGGAAGAAGCTGCACGACCTGCATGGACTTGCAATTTCTTATCACAATCTAATTCTGGAGATGCTGGGACTGACTATGAAAGATGGAAAGGAAAAAAAAAAAAGTCAGATCAGAGACAGGAAGTGGGAAAGGAGAGAGGGGAAAGACTGGGAATATTTTTTCTCTTCTGCTCCAGTCTTTGGCTCGATCTCATCAGGTGCATGCTGCAGAAGTGGACTGTTCTTATACTCTCTTGATTTCGAAATGTACATTGACTAATCCCTCTTTATATGTCTTTCTCTTTAGTGTGCAGGCTTAACTTTCTTAATTTTTAACTTCCCCTGGGGCATTTTAACTCTACTTAAGGTGAACTCAAAGTGAATTTTTTACATGGACGTTGCTTATTCTATGGCTGTACCGATGTTTCAGTATTGGAGGCATTGCACCATCAGCATGTTTACTATCTGCTGGTGCCGATGTCCAAAGACCGTGTAGAACTAAGAATAAATAAAATTATGTGAACAGGGCTTGGCAGCTGATTCTCAGTGGCAATATGAAAAAATTAGGCCTGTTCTGTGTGCTCCGATCAAGGCAAGAAACAATGGAAGACAAATCTCTGTCTGATCACGGCCAGAAAAGATTGTTTCCTCTGGTGCTCCCCCCCCCCCCCCGATGCATCGATGTTTTGAAAACTGCTATCGTGACAGTGCAAATGTTTGGACAGTTAAGCTGGGATGGGACTGTTTTCACTCGTCACATCTTAATGGTATAACCCAGATACTTCACTTTTTGCATCCAGCAGCAAAATGAGTAGGTATGAGTATGATAAAAATGATGACCCTTGAAGCCATATGGTTTCCAATAAATCTTATTACATGGGTGTGTGAACTTAAATGCAAGAGAATGAAGTTCGAACACATTGTAGTTTGGACACACCAGGAAAAAAACTGCAATCTGCTTATTGCATGTGTATTCCCTTGTATCAGTACTCTATGTTCCCTAGTTTCCTGTGGAATAAGAATTGATCACTGATTTAACAATACCTTTATTTAACAATACCTTATGGGAAATGTTTCTCAAGTGAGGTCGTTTCTGTATGTTTTCTTGAATTTGTCCTGTCTGTGACATGACATTCATTTCTGCCCAATATTCAGGAACCATGCTCAATGAAGTAACATTCAATTCCCTAAGTTCAATAAGTAAGTAAGTTCAATTCCCTGCTTCCCATTTTTGGTGCATACTACTGCTTTGTTCATTTGAGGGCTGACTAACACATCAAATGAGCACAAGCATGCTAATTTATATCATAATCCATTAAGTCATTTGGGAAATGCAGTAGCTTATTCTAAGTGAGGTTGCAACAGACCAGTATCAATCCAAAAAAATGCAAATAAAAACAGATCTATTATTTGGATATACATGAAACTTGAGAACCAAGATATTGTAAAGTGCAAAATTGCAAGCACAGTCATAACATATGTTGGAAATGGCCACTGCCATGCTCAATACAATAATGTGCATGGTGAAGCATGTTGCTGGACATAGACTGTAAAAATGCTGACTGAATATTGTGTATTGAACATGGTGGTGGCCACTTCCAACATATGTTGTGACTTTGCTTGCAATTTTGCACTTCACAATATCTTGGTTCTCAAGTTTCATGTATATCCAAATAATAGATCTGTTTTTATTTGCATTTTTTTTGGATTGTTACTGGTCTGTTGCAACCTCACTTAGAATAAGCTACTGCATTTCCCAAATGACTTAATGGATTATGATATAAATTAGCATGCTTGTGCTCATTTGATGTGTTAGTCAGCCCTCAAATGAACAAAGCAGTAGTATGCACCAAAAATGGGAAGCAGGGAATTGAAAAATGTTATAAAATATTTTGGGACAGAGTGTATTTGTGACATTTGTGTTCTGAGGAACCTGCATGACTTATACTCTGTCAGCTGAAAGAGTTTCGTGCACCAGCATTCTACCACCTCCATGTGGCCTTCTTTGGATTTTCAACTGAAGAGAAGCAGGAGCTAAATGAGTGCCTCAAGAGGTGTGGTGGGATCCCGGCTGAACCATGCTTTGACCACCTACGTTTCCTTGGTCTGAAATCTTTGCTCTGTCAAGGTTTAAAGTCTACCTTGTTAGAATTTGATAATGGTATTGGGTGATGTGACAGTTGTCAAGAACAGTGCGGCATCAGAAGGATTGCCAGAGGGCATGGTGAAGACTGCTCATGTCGTCACAGAACAGTGGTTCTGGGAGAGCATGAAGGATGATGTTGCACTTCCACCTGCAGAATACCTCTTCAAACCTCGGGTACACCCAGCTCGTAGAGCTGTCTGTTATTGAAATTCTCTGTGAGTTGAGTGGCCCTTGTGCCACCCTTTCAATGAGTTCATGGATGCCTTATTTTCTCATGTAGCCACCTGAGGCACCAGCAATGGTACTTTCGCCTCGGCGGAGATCCCGTGACCGGCGGAGTAGCTTGAAGCGGAAACGGGACAAGGAAGAAGCACTGCCTCCTGCTGAACCTCAGACAACACAACAGGAGAGTATACGAATGACACGCAAGATGAGCAAGAGCCGTTCGACTGTGACCACCTCCTCTGAAGGGGAGACATTAAATTCTACTGTCAAATCTGGAGATTTTGACTTCAGCCGGGACTCCCTCGGCATGACCATTGATGGCTCCCCTGCAGGTCTTCTTTCTATGCTTTTTTTGTCTCTGAGCTCAGTGGAACTCTTTCTTGTCACTGAAGTCTTGAAGGGGTGATCAGTATGGAAGGATATTTTCAAATTGCTCTTTTTGCTCAAGACATTGGATTCGTTAGTAAATTATGTTCATTGTCAAATTTATCAGTTAGCATATACCTTCTTGACTTGAGTTAGCAATGGACCTCTGGTATTTGGTGGTGCATTATCAGTGGTCAAGACTGGAACTTTTCAAAAGTTCCAGTCTTGCTTGAAATGAACATTCCAGTTTCAACAGTTCAGAAAAAATTTTAAAGTGACTTTGGGTGCTCATGTCTACAAAATTCAGGTAGTTCAGGCCATACTGCAGGATGAATATGACACTAGGTTTGTGTTCTCTCATCAATTTCATAAGAAAAGCTCAATATCAACTTAATTTTTGAAGCTGTTGACATTTTCAGATAAAGTTACATTGTATCTGAATGGCAAGGTCACTATAAAAAACTTTTAGGCTTTGTGAAGCAGTTGACTATTTTTTCCTATCTTCTATGGTAAAAAGTTATTAATTTTTTAAGCCTCTCAAGGACTTTACAAACACCCTGTAGTAATAATCCTTTTTTGCATAAACCAATATAGAAGAAATTATTTGAGAGGGGAAGGACTACTCGTCTCTCTTTTTGGGTAACCAAGATGGGCTCATCTGTTTTCTGTATCCAAGAGGCTGATTCCAATGACTGGCAAAGACTACATGGGAAGAAGTCCCCCCCCCCTTCAGTAACCTTTGGCCAGTTTGCGCACCGCTGGACTAGAGCATGTTTGACCCATTTAAATAAAATAGTGAATGGAAATTAATGCTCTTAGAAGGGCAGTTTGTTCCCTTTATCCAAGTACCGTATTTACCCGTGCATTAGGCGCATTTTTAAGTAAATGTTTTTCTGCGGTCATGGAGGTTGTTCGTCTTAACTTCGGGGAGAAATTACTTTTCCAATGCAAAAAATTTTTAAAACATCCTTGTAATTCATTTCTCATTTAGTGAAATGAAAGCAGTGCCTGTAGTCACTCAGAACAGCGGAAATAAAATGCAGAAACAACTGTCAATGAAGGGAGGGAATGACTACGACGATGCGCGCAGACTTGGTATCGGAATCGAAATCTGAGATGTCTGGCGGCTTGAGAGATTTTTCGTGGAGATATCTTCTTCCGAGGACGGGTCTTCCCAGAGACAGTAATTTTTTTTAATTTTTGAGCCTCTGAGATTTCCTTGCGAAGAGAAAATCCAGCTCGCTTCATGAATCGCATCGTTCATTCTCATGAAACTTTGAATTTTCAATGGGAGATTCCGTTTGCTCTTGCAATTGCATGTGCTTGCGTCTAGATCACCCGTTTTTACACATGACCATTGTTTCGAGACCAAAAATCTCACAATGCCAGAACTGAGCGAGTAGTTTAGACGGTATGCTTCATCGAGGATTTTATTACAGAAGTACGGACTTATTCGGCCACTTCCTTCTAGATTACCTGAATGATCCCTTTCCCCCCACGAAAGGCCATGATATTTTTTAGGACCCCGCTCAATTTCGCCTCTTCCTCGATCCACTTCCGTTTACAGCTTGCCCCGGTGTCGTACTAATGACCGATTGCGTGGATGCCCAACTCCTTCGCTTCCTGAATTACTTTGATTACTCTCCTACCATGTAACTTCGCCGCACATTCCCATCCATTTTCACAAATGTTATAGAGGCTGATATATGTGTCCCCTGTCATTAATGGTCAGGACAGTGGATGAGAAATTAGGTTCGACCGACCACACGACCGGCTTCACCTCTTACTCATCTCCCTTGTCCCTGACACTTCTGCTACGAAATAGGGGGGTGCGCCTTATACGTATATAATTTTTTTCCTCACGAATTGGGACATCAAAAGTAAGGTGCGTCTTATTCACGGTGGCTCCCTATACTCGAGTAAATGCGGTACATGTTCAGAGGGCATTTTCATATGTGAGTTAACCGTATGCCGTTCAAGAGGTTGGTATTAATATTAATTTTAATATTGATAGCGGCAAGATAAATCAATATCAGTCCACATGAAACTGGGTTATATCAATATTGCCTCATCTCTATACAACAAATTTCCTATTATATTGACATGGCATGCAGCCCTGGTCCAAAGTCTAGTCAACTGAAATGCTGATAAGTTACTGAATTATTGAAATGAATAATAAAAAAAGTCAAATGCACGAGTGTGAGCCATAAAAGTAAAAGGTTGCTATTTTCCCCAGAGAAATCAGAGACAGATAAGTTTCGCTTGATTAGTCAAATTGAACTCAAAAGGCTGGGAATTTATTCATGTTCAGATGATGTGTTCCTAGAGAGTCCATCCCCACGCAAGGAGCCAAAGCTTACCTCGAGACACCAAGTGTTTCTGGAGCTCTTACAGACCGAGAAGAACTATGTCAACGTCCTCGACATGATCCTGAAGGTCGACCTTAAATCCCATCAGATCCCAACTGACTTCATACTGTTATGTGCTAATTTTTTTTTCTCTCCCTCTTCTTTTCTCAGGCACGTGTGGAGTGGGAGGATTTGGACCCTAACCATGCCATCATGGAGAAGAGAATCCTTGATATGATGTTCGGAAACATTCAACCCATTCGTAATCTCCACGCTCACCTCCAGGCCGACTTTGAGGCTCTGGCTGCTCAATGGAACGAGAAAGCTCTCATTGGGGACAAGATCCTTCAAAAGGTCTGTGCCATGCCCTCTGATGAGGGTCGGTCGACACTCGTTTATCCGTCCGAACGCCAGTAATCTGGGGCTTCCGTTGATTCGGCCGCGAGGAATGGCCCCGGCAGAAATCTTGAAATATTTCAACAGCGACAGTCTCTGACATGAAGAAGCGTCGTGATTAACTCGAACATGATGCTATCCGGTCTGGTGCTTCTCTGTCACTGAAACAAATGCGAAGCGCAGTTTCGCATTCGTCTTTGCGGAGGGACACATCGTGCACGGAAACATGTGCGCATTGTTGGGAGCACAGACCCGTGCTGTCCTTGGAAAGTGCATTGCGTGCATTGAACGTAAAAATAAATTATGCATTTCATCTGCGTATTTCACTGAGTGAAATGAGCAGAATATAGGAGTTTCAGTGATGGGAGATGTATGGACAGAGCCAAAAAAAGTGTGGAATGAGTTGGCAAGCTCCTCTCTGCGAACATCATCAGTCCCATTTATCATAATTGGTCCGCCGATCTCCTGAGGTCCAGATTAACGAGAGTTGACTGTTAAGAGTGCAGCATTTAGAGGTTGGTAAAATTAAAAGTTACCTCCTGTGTGCTTGTCCTCTCACTTACCTATGGAATTTGCCCCCACCATGTTAGAATCGAATGTGGGAATGTATTGGGTTGGAAAGAAAGTCTTGCAATACTCTGCACAAATTTGTCAAAATTTTATAACTTTATTGAAATGCAATTTCAGTCTACAATGTAATGATCATTGTTGTCTATGACATGTTCCCAACGCTTGATCATTACATTGTAGACTGAAATTGCATTTCAATAAAGTTATAAAATTTTGACAAATTTGTGCAGAGTATTGCAAGACTTTCTTTCCAACCCAATATTTATTCTAAGAGGCTTTGGGACCTCGGTAGTTGTGTGCCTTTCAGTGCTAAACCAAAATGGAGCGATCGCGTAGAACTTTTATTAGATATACATCTAGCCTGAAGTAGTATTTGTAGTTGTGCTCAACTTTGCCGTAACCGAGTTTTCGGTTTCTGCAGTGCCACTCGGGCGTCCTCGTGAGCATCTACAAGAAATACGTGAAGGACTTCGAGGAGCAGAAACGACTAATCCATAACATCTCTGCCTCCAACTCCAGGTCCGTTCTTTCCTATGTGGCCGGTACGATGAATCGATTCTATCGAAGCTTTTGTTGCTAAGTTTCTTCTACGTTTTAGGTTCTATGGGTTTCTGCGATCGATGCAGGGGAAGCAGGAGTACGGTCGGCAGAGCCTCGAGGACCTCCTCATCCGTCCCGTCCAGCGTCTTCCGTCCGTCATGCTACTCCTCAAAGGTCGGTATCGTCAAGTATGTCTTTGTGCAACGCATTTTCTTTAGATCTCCCTCCTCGTTTGTGCCATGTCTCTATCGTTCGAGGATGCTGAATTGTTTTAATTAGGGTCCAATACCCGATGACCTTTTTTGCTCGTTCGATAATTTGGTCCCGTCAAACGGGCATCGTTATTTATCGTCCCGTTCTCCAAAAAGCAAAGGGGACTGTGGAACGATGAACAATTTCGAGGTCACGACCGCGAAACGTTCATACCCCTCGTAATGCGTGTAGGCCCTCGTGACTGCAGATCGGCCGATGCATCGATTGCCGATGTAAGTTTGCCGATATCGAAGAGGTACGACGATCACAGCCAGCTCTTCCACCATCTGATGGAAATTCTGGCACGTGTGGAGTAGCCGACACGGTCCCATCCTAGAGGCGCGAAGGCATGGATCTTATCTTTACTTGTTCTCGGCCAGAAACAGGCTTAGTCCTATTTGTAACTAAAGGGAATATCAAAGCAAACTCGTACATAGGAGTATCGATTGCCGAACTCCCATCAGAATTTTATTTTAGATATTCTCAGAGACAAAAATGATCTACATGCAGAACAAATTCTCACCGAATATGCGCGTTTGGCTGGGATGACCGAATATTTTCGCACGCATCGAGACCATTTGGAAAAGATTCACCCTTTTCCCTTCGTGATGGTAAGACGTCTGTCAGGACATGTGCAGACGCCAAGTAATTTTCGGAAGGTGAGGACGGTGAAGTGAAAGTTTAACGGATCGCTTCTGGCTCTGCGATGACTCCCAGCACTGCAGACGTTTCTCACGATTCTCATCGATTGGTTCACTCCCCAAGGAATTCAAGGCTAATCTGTTTGCATGACGCCATCAACCCAGAAAACTTGTGGATGAAGTTGTGGATCTGGCGAACCGAACCGAATGCGAATTCTTACTCGCTTCGGAAAGCGTACGCGTACGCGTCCGGTTCTGGTTCTTTATGAAATTTCACGGTCGGCGAAACCAACGAAACTCTATTTTTCCGTCCGATTAGCACATCCTGCGTTTCTCAGAGCCCATAATGGCCAGCCCAGGGGACGATCACGTTGTTTTGCCCCACTGAAACTAAATGTCTTCAAAGGTCAAGTCATGGTATAAATAAATCTTCTGTGACGAAGAACAGATGTATAGGTCCCCCGAAATACGACACGCAGTAATCGTAGGTGTTGCAGCTTGACTCGAACTACTCCGCTCTAAGTCGAACGGATGCGCTTTAAGGGTGCCTTCACACCGGATCAGCCTAGTCCAGTCCAGTCCAGTCCAGTCAAGATTAGTCATGGTTCAGTCCCGTCTAGTCAAAGCGCTTTGTCACTTTGGATCAGTCATGCATTCACCATTACCAACGGATACCTCTACATCGAATCAGTCAAGTCTAGTCACGTTTGGTCATTAGTCAGTCCAGTCCCATCAGTCAAGCTTAGTCAGGTGGTTACGCACGCACTTTTTGTAAAGCCAGTTCAGTTCACCATCTGCTCCAGTGGTGATCTTGTTGAGCAGCATGGAGGAGAGTGAGGAAGAACTGGTGTCTACCCATGTTTTGTTGTGGCGATGGAGAAAGAGATGGCGAAAAAAGTTGTGGGTGCATCCCATTAATTCCCAAAAGCAGCAATTCGATTAATTCCATCACCTTTTCACCGAATTGCAGGAAGACCCTGAGCGGTTCTTTTGGTATTTTCTCATGAGGACATCCTCTTTTTAGAAACTCTTGCATCTCATAGCTTCACACATAGAGAAGCAAAACAGCAACTGCAGAAGGACTGTCCCTCCAGAGTAACGGCTAGGTGTCACACTGAGGAGAGTCGCAAACATAATTCCATGGGTTACCCTCCAATGAGGGCTATATGCAATGAGGTAGTGAAAAATTCGTTCTTCAACACCTTTATTTCAAAAACACAAGAGAAAAGGGGGGGGGGGGTCCTACGAGATTGTGAATAATGGCCAGATTGAGAATGCTAGGTCATCAGTTGCAAGCTGTATCTTTCTCACTAATTACCAGTCATTTCTTGTAAGCTAGTGCGAGAGCTGGAGTGATTCAAGAAGGTGGTGTCATTTCGCATCTCATAACCTGTCTCATTCTCCAGTTCATAGCGCAATCAGGAGCCGCTCTCCTATTTCGATCAATTTCTATTAAGGGATAAAGGGATTTCATTTTCAACAGTCATTGCCTCTTCGCTTCCACGTGAAGGTGAACTTTGAGTTCGGGTAGCACGATCGTGCTCCTGTGATGTGCGAGCTTACGGAAGTCCTGATTCGTAGTAAAATTTTATGCATAATATTATATATTATGCAGAGCAGCACTAGCAGCGCAAGAAGACGGAGTTGAGGCATAGTGATGAGGAGGTGGCACAAAATAAAAAAAAATCAGGGGGCAGGGTCGTAGATCTCAGGCCTTTCGCGAGCCAAAGATATCAGTACTTCCACTTGGGAACTCATTTTACGCATGTCCTCAAGTCCCATACCACACTAGAGACTGATGAAGACTGACGGAAAAATAGAGCCTGTGCCTATTTGCGTCTTGACTAAACGTGACTGACGAGGACCAGACTAGACTTGATTGATGCGGTGTGAAGTGGATATCAGAAAGAGCATGTTTAGCAATGGAGCTGTAAAAGTTTTGACTAGACTAAAGATGACTTGACTCGACTAGACTGAAGAAGACTGGTGTGCATGCACACTACGACTCGCCCAGCTTGACTGGACTAGACTAGACTAGACTGATCCGGTGTGTAGGCACCCTAAGACTCGAACGTGGAATTCCTCCATCTCGCTCCGTGCAGCCAGCAGCAGCAGCCCTTGTGATTAATGTCTGCCGGATCTGTTTGCACGTTCTATGACCGTCTATTGCATTGACCGATACAATCAATGTTCTATTATAAGTAGTTCTTGAGTTACTGATTTATCAGAATTTGAGATTAGTTGATGACACTTAATATTGACCACCCTGTCTTTGACCTATTGGCCCAATGAGACTGAAATGTGACGTTTTGGAGCTGGGGATCCCTGTTTTCCTAATGTAATCTAAATTGGAGCGGGTCGGGCTTTGATTAGCAGCGGTATTGGGTGACATTTCCTGGAATGACCAATGTAGACCAGCGTAAGCTGCAATACCCACAGCAACATTAAATTTCTGTCATACTTTTGCATTGTCATATTTTCGCAGTCACCAGCTAGCAGAAACAATACAAGGTAGCATAAGTAAATGGTGGTAATTATAGTCGTTAAAGCCTGAGATTGTCTTCTCCAGAGTAGCTGTGACGTCTGCTGGGAAACCGCACGTTGATTCGTTCCAAGTCACTCGCTTACATGCATAAACCAGGAGTCGAACGTGCTGTTGGACTCTCGCGTCAGCCTGTGAATTTACTAAGTTAAACCGAACTTGCGTTCAGGACTACGTCTTACGAGATTATCAGTCCGAACTGGTAGGATATTTTCCTACCACTAGCATATTCTAAAAACTCTTACCCTAAATTGTGCTTAAACCCCTAGTTCTGTATAAAATTTTTCATGGAGGTACCCTACGACTACAATTGCTTCATATCCAATATCTGAGAAAGCTCAGATATCATGTTCATACTTACTCTCACGATATACATCTCATAGGAAATTGGAATTACGGCATATTAAATAAAACAGAGCAACTATAGGGAGATGGGTTCAGTCACCTGAGAGCAAGTCCAACAAGTAGCCGATACCTTTAGCCTGAGCGTTCGAGTCAAGTTGCTCATTCCTGAAGCGTTCGAGTTTCGTTGGTTTCCTCTAGTTCGAGTTGGTCTGAATTAGGGTTCGCTTTTCCTTTTGCCCGAAGGTGGATAGGGGAGAAAGAAGGCCTCTCCAGTTAGCTCGAGTTTTCTCTTCCCGTTGCGTCCTCGGTTGCTCTTTCTCTGTTCTCTTTCTCTCACTCGTTCTCACCTTTTGGTATGCAAAGGTTTTGCTCTTGTTCTCAGAGCACTGATGCATGGTGACGTCGCCACTTTAACCTATCTTGCAAAAATGTTATGGAAGAGAGTGCGACTAGTTTTCGAGTAAATAACCAAATATTCAATTTCACTCTTGAGTCTTAGATCCGGGGCCCCCTCGGTATCCCTCCCGCGCGCCCCACAGTTTTGTAAAACCGTTGATCTAGGTCCAATCTAGGGGAACCACATGTTCCTGTGTGAAACGCTTTTAGCCCATTTCCTTTCCGTCTCTCGTGAGGGAGAGTGACTTCCGAGGTGAAAGCGACCAAGTCGAGACACCATTCCTGTATCGGTCGATGGCATGTGGGACACCCTCTGCTGCATTGTAATACATTTTTCTACGTTTTCGCGCGTAGACCTGCATTAACGTTTACGGGAATTTTCTTTGGGAACCTTGACATGGAGGAACGTACACGTGACCTTGTATGGGTAGAGAGTGGAAAATTTCAGGAGTTCTGAAAAGACCTATCCCGTTGCTCCGGAATTTATGACGTTTTTATTTATGTATACAGTGTATATTTATATGATGGGTGTTCGTATTTAAACGCAACATAGGGAAATTTTTGCCGCCTGTTTGTGGAGTTCAGAACTCGCCTTATAGCTCACCGGGTTGCATATCTGGAAGGATGAAAATTATCCCCGGTGTGTTTCCTTGCAGATATGCAACCCGGTGGACCTTATAGCGTTCGCCGAGCTTGACCTACCCTAGTAGCATATAACATTGAAACAACATTGATTCGGGTCGCTAGAATAAGCGCGAAAAGAATAACACCGAATCGGAATAACGCCGAACTGGAATACCTCCGACAGGAATAATGTCGACAAGAAGTACGCCGACCAGAATAACGCAGACTGGAACAACGCCGAACAGGAATAATGTCGAAAGCCATTTCCTGGATTAAAGGCGAATTGAACTCTCCCGACTAGAATAACGCCGAAACAGAATGAGAGCCAAAGCTGCGCAAAATTTTCAGAAATACGACGAAAATTTGAAGGCGGA